AAAAAAAAAAAAAAAAATAATAATAATAAAGAGGAAGGAGGGAAAGAAGTAGCAGGTGAGCAGGTGAGCAGGTGAAAAGGAGTTGGAAGGAGATAGGAGAGGACAAGCAGGTGCCTGTGCGACCTAACCATACAGATAACCCCTAGAATGTTCATCCATTCACAATGCACATCTATTATAATAAGGTGGTACAATTAGGCACTCCGTTTTTCAGATTCAATGGCCCACTCTGCCCTACCCCAGGTTGTAGCTCGTGCATTCCACAGCAGCAGGGCCTGCAAAACTGCTAGGATGAGTACACAGATGCCATGAAATTATGACTACGTAAAAAAAAAAAAAAAAAAAAAAAAAAAAAAAAAAAAAAAAACAAGCAAACTAGGTGATTAGTATGATTACACAGAAGCCATGAAATTCTGACTAGAACTGGAGAGACTCTATGGTCGTATACAGAAGCGCCGCATGTTTGCCTCATCTGTTATGCAATCCTGAGGAGGAGGAGGAGCAAGATGCGAAGAGAGCACAAGTGAGACTTAGGAGGAAGATGAGGAAAAAGCAGAAGGGAAACTTACCCCTGCCCGAACGTCAGGATCCGGGCGCAGAATATCCTGTTTCGAGATGAACCTGCTCTGCTTGTAGAGTGTCTTAGTTGCATTCCAGATTTCCGATCCTGCTGTCACAGCCACTGTAGCCAAGGAGGTGATCTTATTTATCTCCTCCATAATCTGCAGGCAAGCGTACAGTCATGAGGACAGAAACCATGTTGTTATCTTAAGGAGAGAGGGTGCCATAGCCAAAGAATGAGGGAATATCCACACTACCTTCTTAACCCGGACAAAAAAAAAGGAAAAGAAAAAAAAAACATACCTTTCATATGAAAGTAAGTCCGTTATATAACGACTTTTAAGGTACAATGTTTCAGAAGCCTGTAGTACCGCCATTGTTTTTATTTATTTTTTTCTCGAATTTGGTTGGGAATTTCGCCAAGACCCTCCGGCAAAAGTTGTTTGCATTGCAATTTTGGACAATGCATATTTTTTTTTTTATTTGAATTATTTATTTCGGGATTTTTATGAATTTTTTTTGAAAATCGAAAAAAAAAAAAAAAAAAAAAAACAGTAAACAGAATGTCCCTGCCATAGAGATTTTTTTTGTTTTTTGCTTTTTTTTTAATAATTTGGACCATCTCTCGATTTATGTGTGTCATCCTTGCGCAGGGGCCATAGAGAATATTGTTATCCTCGTTTTTATTTATTTATTTTTCTCGAATTTTGTTGTGAATTTCGACAGGACCCTCAGGCAAAAGTTGTTTCTATTGCATTGTTGTACAACATTTGTTTTTTTTTTTGGGGAAATTTCTGATTATTTTTGGAAAAAAAAAATTGCAAAAAAATGCCAAAAATCCGAGTACAACATACGTACGTTGTATTCGAATACGTCGTACATACGTTATATTTGAACGTACGTTCTATTCAGGAAAAACCAAGCGACTTCTGAAAACCCAATTTCCAGAGGTAATTTGAATAAAATGTAGGTACGTTTTTTTTGGGTTAAGAATCTTAACTTAAGATTCTTATCTTAAGAAGGTAGGACTTTCCCACGTGTACCTGACTCCAATTACGGCCAGACGTGGACGTATATGGCCGCAATCACATCCAGAGCTCAGTCAAGGAAGTCCACGTATATGGCCGCAATCACATCCAGAGCTCAGTCAAGAAAGTCCCAGTGTGAGTATGGCCTGAGTCATGCAGAGATGAGTGTGAGTCAGGTGTGGACCCCACTGGGTGGCGGCCTGGAAAAGTTTGGGCGCCGGGGTGTTTTCCAGACCCCACTGGGTCTGGAAACCGGTGTGGAAAACTGGCCCGGAAAGGAATTCCAGACCCCACTGTGCTTGGAAAGAGGTTGCGGAAATGGTGATGGGGCGTTTCTACATGGTCCGGGGTCTGGAAATTCGACGCCGACCGGTTTCCAGACCCTTTCCAAGGAGGCGGCCAGTTSAGCAGRGGGGGGGGGGGGGGGCATGTCCATCAGTTTCCAGACGCGGGCTTCACAGCGTGGACCATGCATCCTCGCCGTGGACCGTTCTGTGTACCCGGAGGCCGTGGTGGACATTCGTATTTTCCCGTGGTGTCGCACGGTATTCCCAAGGGCCCGCTGGTCTGTGGAGTCCATGGTCCCCCGAATTCACGAACGTCGCAGTGCACCGTTTGAAATTCGATGGATCCATGGCGATTCCGTTACCGTGACGGCGACGTTGTCAACCCCTGTACACGGCCTGTTCTGGCCCTGTCGACCGCACAACCTTCACGAACCCGTGCGACTCACCAAACCGTCCTCCTTTGTCCCCGGCGATGGCCCCCCGTCAGTGCTCCTGTGCTCAGTGCACTCCGGCTACCAATGGCTCGGACGGCACCTCCCACCAACGGCAGGGAGGGACATCCAGCCCCCAACTGTAGTTTCCCGTTGCCTGAGAGGACCCGCTCGGGCCACACAGCAACGCACGGCACTTGTGCGGAACCTGCCACACCGGGTCGCGCACGGCCACACACGGACTTGTCCTGGAGCAGTGCGGTACCAGGCCATGGTCCACAGCACCCGCCCGACTTGCCTTTTCGGGAAACACCCTTCGGCGGTTTCCTATTCGGGTATGCCATGCCTTTTCCAGTGCCGAAACTATGGGTCTGCGATGGGGTTCCTTCAAAATGCGTCAAGTTTTTTCCAACCACGGTGGGCCGTTTTTTGTGGCCAACACCAGTTTCGAGCTGTGGGCCAGTGGGGTCCACCCCTCAGACACAGATGCGCGCACAGTGAAAATAGGCCACTCAAAAAAAAAAAAAAAAAGGCCACTCAAATGATGACGAGCAGACACACATGAACGCCCTGTCGTGATGGCTGTATGCAGACTGAAAGTTGCCCCAAATACAGTGATAATGACTAGGGGGTCTATTTTTGGGTGAAAAGGGTACCCCCACTATTCCCTAAGCCTCCACTGGCCGTTATGAGGCCAAATCTGCCGCCCCTCCTATTCAGAAAGCTTCGAGTTTATATCCAAGCGCTGCCCTCAGTTGGTGGATGAGGTACCCTAAGGGGGCATACTCACACTTAGTCTAGCAATTTTCTACATGTATCTGACCCCCATTACGCCCATACCTGGATGCCTTTGGCTGCAATCACGTCCAGAGATGAGTCACAAAACTCCTAATGTGAGCATGCCCTAAGCAAAAGGAAAAGATGGCAACACCACTCGCCAAATGCCCACATTCTGAAGGTATTGGACTTGCAGTTGTCCCGATACATACAAAAAATGTTGGTGTTCCACAGAGACAGGACGGAGCAGGACAGCTCTGATTTATTTTTGAGGACACAAAATGCAATCCTTATTGACAGCGAACGAAACGCAGTGCCTAAGAGCCTGCTCATACTACTACCTTCTTACCCCGAATACAACGTACGGTCATTATACCTGTATTTAGTATGAAAGATGACCCAAATACAGCTGTACTGACCGTAGGTTGTATTCGGGGGAAGAAGGTAGTAGACTAGTAGTAAGACTTCCTTCACTCGTCTCTGGACGCAATTTGTGATCAGATGCATGCAGAGTAAGCCAGAATTTCGGTCAGATACATCCAGAAAAGTCCTACTGTGATTATGCCCTAAGGGCACAAAATTTGCATTCCATCAGCGAGTTCAGAGTCCGATAGACTGGGGTATCTTTGTTTTGGCCGTTTTTTAGCTCAGGCCCTCTGCACACCACTGCCCGCCCAGGGCCATAAGGAACTGTTTTATTTTGGGGGGAGAGGGGGGAGGGGGGGGGGAAGAAAAAAAGAAAAAAAAAAAAGAAAAAAAAAATGATGCTCCTAGTAAGTATGTACATCATAAGTGACGCTGAGCCCAGAGGGGCGAGGTCCCACTAGCAACGGGATAGGATAGAAACGAGATTGTGGGGCAGTTGAGTGACCCAAATCCTGTCGTGCAGTACTCGTGATCAGGATCACTGCTGACAGAAGATTTCCAGTATTTTACTTGCTGTTGTGCAATTATCTCATTGGGTGGAGCCCTCCTTCAATCGCGGAGTATATTATGGAGGGTGTCAGGATCACTGCTGACAGAAGTCGAGTTTATTCCAGAAAATGTGGGGGTTACTTTGTTCACTGTTTTTGCAACCACCACCATCAGATCATTTGTGATCTGATGGCTGGGAAGCACTCTGCCGTGATTTCTTTTTCTTTTTTTTTTTGGAGCTCTGCCGTGATTTCCGGTGGGAGATCTCTGTTTCTTTTTTTTTTTTGGCCTTTTTGCTGTTTTCTCAGCCCAGAAATTCGTAATGAACTTGTCTGGCCGCTGCCACTAAGTGTCACACTGGATCGGCCACACTCCTATCCGACTGCTAATGGGACCTCCAGTTCTCAGCACGTGCTGCTCCCCACGAATATAGATCAGAGCTGGTATTTGAAAAAAAAAAAAAAAGTGATGCCGCTCTTTTACTGCCTTTCTGAACTTCGCGCATGATTGACCTGCCTGTAGGGTGTTTTTTTTTTTTTTTTTTTTTTTTTTTTTGTTTTTTTTTTTTTTTTTTTTTTTTTTTTTTGCCTATTTTGAACTCTTCTTTTTTTGTTCCAGACGTAGTTGGCTCCTTCGTCGAAAAAGCTAAGTCTCAGTCAAGCTTTGAGTTTCGAATATAATTAAAAAAAACACGATGCGGTTTTGTAGAGGCGGCAGTTTGCAAATGTGCGACAAGATAAAAAAATAGCGCCCCCTGCAGTTATGATATCCTTGCTTATTAGAAAAGTGCCGCCTGCCGCACCTCTTTGCTCGTCTTTCCCAACTTGGTGCATGAGGGACCTGCACGTATGAGTTTCTTTTGCCTATTCAATCCTCATTTTTGTTCGATCTAGTTGCCTTTTTTTTTTTTCTCGCTTTTCTAAAACACCTGCGTGTCCCTCCGCCGTCCAGGTTCCACCACCACCACCACCACAACTCTGGGCCGTGGTCCCACTAGCCAAGGGGATAGGATAGAAATCCTGAATCTGGCTATGTTTTAAGCAGATATACAAAAAAGCAGCTCTGTCTCGATTTCCTGCTCCTGTCCTCAAACACGTCCAGATTCAGGCTTTCAATCCCATGCTCTTTGCTAATGGGACCACAACTCTGCAGATAGAGCAAATGTGAGCCAGAAGCGTTCCAAATCCTCAACCACACACCCGTGACAGTGTATCCTTTTTCTTCTTTTGATATCGTCTCTACTAGCGGAGGTGATAACTTCATAAGCGCAACCCCCCTTGGTAGGGGTTCCCCTGAGAGACTGCATCCCCCTCACAAAAGGGTGTGCTCTCTGCCCATCTACTGTAAACACAGAGTGCCTCTCTCGCAAAAGCGCGACCGTGATCTGTGTGTGTGTGCGAATGATCTACTGTAACGGGAAAGGAACATGTTGAAATGAAAACGAAAACTACCAGGGCACTAAGTGAGCTCTCGAACTCCTATATATCGTCAAACAGAACTGCCTCTGGTAAACCGTAGGGGCAGGGAGGGAGAAGAGGACAACAAACGAGGGCTACTATATATATATATATATAGAGAGAGAGAGAGAGAGTCAAACAGAGCAGCCTACGGTAAACCGTAGGCAGAGAGGGAGAGGGAGAAGAGGACAGCAAACGAGGGGCTGTGGCAAACTGTTTCGTCGGAGTTTCACCGACTCATCAGGAGGCTGAACCCTCAACAGTCT